CAAATAAGCGGCATATAAGTTGTCTAAAATAATTACATAAAATAAATACTTTGTTAATTACTTATTTTGAAATTATTCCTTACAGAGAAAGAAAGAATGAAATTTCCTGGTTTTTTTGATGTCGATCAAACAGCGGTTGAACCTTTAAATCAAGTAAGAAAGTTATCTGGTTTGTAGTCTCACCTTCAGGAAGTGAAGTGGGTGTGCAGAGTGCTCTTTCCTTCTTTCCCCCTCCTTGTTTGGACTGGATTATTTTTCTGTCCTTCCACATAATGGAAAGCGGAATGGCAGGTTGAAGTGGCTGTCAGCCAATATCGCTTCCTCTGGTTATCTTGTTCTGCTTGGTGCTCTTCCAAGTTTGCTTTTACCAGAAGCACTTCTTTTAAAGTCCTTCCGGAATTAGGAATAAATGTATCACATTGGCAGGAACTGCTAAAACCCCGTTCTTTTTGTAATTTATTGACATTATATGGTAAAGATTAACAGTTGGAAGAGTCCTTGTAGATCATCTAGTCCAACCCTCCTTCACCATTTCTGACTGTTGGCAGTTTAGTATCTTCTTGAAAGCTGCCAGTGATGAAGCTCCCACAGCTTTTGAAGGAAACTGAGTTTCCTCCCTATCCTCTTATCTAAATTACTGATGAAGTTCACCAGATCTTGCTAATCCTGCTGTTCTGTTCTTTTTTCCGTTTTCAGGAGAGTCTTGTGTCGTTCGAGGAGGTGGCTGTGTATTTCTCTGAGGAGGAATGGTCTCAGCTGGATCCTGACCAAAAAGCACTGCATTCGGAAGTCATGCTGGAAAACCATAGAAATGTAGTCTCTATTGGTAAGAGTTTTCTAGTCCACAATCTGAGAGTTCAGAAAGGCAGGTTATAGTTACTTTTTATTTAAAAAATCACTAATCAGATAGGGACTCCTGGAAAGGAGACATAAAGTATCTGACCTTCTGGAAGAAAGGAAAGAGTCAATGTCTCTTTGCTTAGATACTTTCTGTGCCGTTTCTTATCTGTATTTTCCCATTTCTCTTTGAACTTATCTGTGGAGGCTGAGAAGAATGGGATGTTATTTTATGTGTCTTCTGGAGGTCATGTGAGAAGAAGGTGTTGTCATTTGTCCTCTGAAACCTCCATAATAGTGACAGTTCACTAAGCGACCGTTCCAAGATACGACCTAGCTCTCTCCCAAGTTCTTAAGTCTCAGTCCTGAAATTGCAAACGTTTCAGCACCACAGTGGTCATTTACACTTACAAATGACAGCAGAGGTGTTGCAATAACAGTCACCCTACCAATACTCCCACTCCACCCTGCTGGGACTTAGATTCGGAGGATGTAGCAAGCCGTCAGTTCCTTTGCCTGGTTCGGTGCATTTGCAGAACAAAGAAGCCTAACGTAATGAGAGATACACAAGATCAATAGTGGTAGATCTGGCACTGCTGATCTCACATGGTCTCGTACTACAGTACATTAGGCCAACCAAGGACTGCATGAGATCTAGGGCAAAGTGGTTTGGAAAACAAAGTGAAGGCCTCTGTTTTCAAAGACTTTTTCCCTGGATCTCGTGCAGTCCTCAATTTGTGGGTAATACAGGCCTAAAGTCCTCCAGGGTGAGATCACGCGAGATCATTAGTGTGACATCTTGCACTTCTGGTCTTTTGTGATCTCGCACTAGGCCTCTGTTCTCTAGAAATTGAAGCCTATATCAGATTCAGCCAAAGAGCTCTTGCAAAATAGTCATTGTTGAAGCCTCCCAACCTTTGCAATCTCAGCACGAAGAGCATTTACAAACCAATGGGAGGCTCCAAGGGATTTCGCACCAAAGTCTCATCGCTGGGATCAAGGAAAGGGCTGAGCGGTAGTTCTGCCTGCCAGATGGAAACTGTGGAGCAACACCAAGGAGAAGAAACTCTCTGTTCTCACATGTCTCTGCTACAATTAAGCCATTTGGGGAGGTCTTATTTTTGAGGTGCAGTAGGTGATGAACGTGGTCACCTCATGCCTGCTGATGTGTTGTAAT